TCCAGATAAGTACTGCCACCTTATCTATTTCTGCCGCCAAACAGTATTGTTAGCATTACAGCGTTACGATTTTGAAGTGTAGGTGCTGATGAAGTTACAGGCACATGGGACCTGTCAACTTATGTCTCATGGCAATGGGACAAACTGAAACTTTCTAGTTTTCCATATAACAAATAAAATTACAGTTATGATATTTTTTTTTCTTACATTTCACCTGACTAGCTCGGAAAAATTTTCTTTCTCATTATAAATTTTCGCCCAAGTACGTTTTTTGCACGCTATCGTGGAAAAATTCGAACTTGACGATGGCTTTGGTGCACCCATAGATATTATATGGTTACCTATCACAAGCTAGATACATGATTTACAGAATTTTGTTTCTCCGAAAACCTTTACACTTTTATTGAATAGATTTTATTTCATTTGTCCGAAAACACGTTATGGTTTTTTTTCATTACACCATTTAATGTTTCTCTATTTTGACATATTGACAAGTTATTCTTTTCCCGATTTTTATTTCCTCAACAAACTGTTTGACCAATGTATCTAATAGAATATTTTTATTTTTTTAAAAAACTATATCCATGTTACATTTTTGTTATATTATTTCTTATTACTGATATTAAAAGTGTCGTACAATACAACTCGTCAAATTAAAGCACCTCGCATCCTTACAAAATATGGTAAACAAGATGCAAGTTAATTTGATCGAGTTTTAGTCTCTCGCTTCGCTCGTTCGGATCGTGCGGCTTTTTCATATATTAACCTAACTTAAACCTACAGGAGGGGGTCGTACCGTCTAGGTAATGCAAACAAATTCGTCTCTGGCTGGTTTTTCATAAACTAACCTATTTTTTTTTTGTATTACCCGAAGGAATCTGCTTACAGATACCCCGGCCCTGCAGGGGCAGAGCCAGGTTTTGTGGGACTGGGCTAAACCCTGAAGGGGAGCAGCCCGACCGCACCAAATCCCCGGGGTGTTCCTCCTTTCCACTTCAGGTGGAGTGACGGGTGCGCTCTCGCTCGTCCGCGGCTCCACCAGCGGGTGGTCCCCCGACTCTAAATGTAAGGCTCGTCGAATACTAGACGACCCTTCCATCTCGGGCCCCTCCATGCTGGGCGACGAACTACCCCATGTCCGCTACCCAAGGGCTATGAGGGCCAATACAACATCCCCTCAACTGTGAAGTTCAGAGGATGCTCTCTCAGCCCCCGCGGCGGATCTGTTGGTAGACTCCGCCGCAACACCTTACACGCATCCGTGTGGACTCTCCGAAGAGAGTCCCTTGGAGCGCCCACGGCACCTGCCACTACATCTACACCCTAAGCGGTGCAGCCCCGCCAGTGTCGCGGAGGACAGGACCCTCCTCCCCGAATGCATCCGCGCGGACCCGCTAGACCAAGACCAAGAGCCCGCGGTGGTACGCCCTCATCGGGCCAGCATAACTCCATCGGCCGGCCCGTGGGTTCCTCTTAGCTTCATCGTGGGATTTATCGATTTTAATCGACCACGGCTACTAGAACCAGCCCCCCCCCCCCCTCCCACGACAAGGCAAGGAACCCATTCCGGGGAGGACGACCTTCAAATGCTAACCTAACCTAAACCCACAGGCAGGGGTCGACTTAGCTAGGAAATACAAACAAAATTCGGTTCACTCTCCTCCATTCAGTTATAAGTTATTTATTGAATACTCAAGATCATTGTTTTTAAATTACATTTCAGATGACAGCAAAAACATAGCGCAATGGTATGACGAAAATTACGTAAGTGGACTTGCTGTGCACCAGCAAAGTGCAGTCCAGAATTTTGGAGCTGTACGGTAAAAACAAATGGCGGTACAATTTTATCTAAGAATAATAATTTTGTCGAAACGAATTTTCAGCAATCTAAATTATATGGAAAACAGACAGTATAACAAACATGATTAGACCGAACAAAATTCTCCCTAAAAAATACGTATGTGTAATAATTCTAATAATAAGTCTTCGGACAAACGATACGTCTGCTGTAAGACATTTCTGTGTTGCAAATTTATATTAAAACTCTCCTCGCACTAATGAAAATAAGTCGAACCATTTTCGGAGTATCGAAATTCGGAAAAAAGAAATTCGAGTTTGTGATAGGTTATCATATTATACCATAGATATGCACCCATATATATAGATGTGCACCCATTTTTCGATGGAAAAAAAGATAATGACACGTTCAACTATGCGATTTGTCGTACATTAGGTATTTATTCATGTAATATAAATCCGTTGGTATATTTTATTCTAATTAATTCTAAAACTAATTGTGTTTATTAAATTATTTAATTCGTAGAAGAACTAATATAATTTCAACAATCTCTTAATTACACAAAATTATAAGTACAAGCAAGAAATAAAATTTACGAGGTGTAGATTCAGAACGCATCCGAAGGTAAACTTATTCTTATAATTATAAAAACTGATGTTATAAAGTTCAACTGTTTTTCTTTCATGTGTGCTTCGCTCGGCAGCAAAGTTCTCTTGCATCTCGTGCCTTTTAACCCTCGCTACTCAGGAATCTATTTTTGAACCATTCGCGAATTAGCATCCTTCGCTTGCTCAGGTTTCAAAGCATTGCATTCACGTCAAACAACTTTGCAGCCTATAACAAATAACTATTAAACCGCTCGCCTGTAATATTTTTCTATTATTCGCCTGTTATATTATTTAAATGCATATTAGACATTTTACGTTTCCTGTGTCGATTCCTACTCTCGGATCACGAAATCCGTAATTACGTCCCTTTTGATGACCTTCAGACTTGAATTTCGATCGGATCTAGAACTAAGAATGTACGACAACGCAATTTGACAGTTTCGGACGGTCCGCCTTTTCGTTGACGGACTTCGAGAGTAATCATCTACATTGGGAAAACGGCCGTAACTACCGGATTACGTGTTTCGTCTTCGATTTTTCTTTTAATTTATTCTACTCATATTTTAAAGATTTATAAATACATACCTTATAGACTAACATACATAATAATATAATAAATCACTAATTATTTACACGTATTGTGTGCGACGTGTAACGCAAGGCGGGTGTCCGGTAACCGGCCTCGAAAACGTTGGTACACGACGCCTCTTAGCCAAAACTCCTCCTTCATGACGATCGACAAATTTTCAGTTGGTACTCTCAGCACAAATGAATTGAAATTAATATTGTGGCGAGACCCCAACCGTTTAACCCTGAAGGTGACATTGCCCTTCACTCGTATATACTCCACAATACCCGTAGACTTTGTAGAGCAAGGGTTCGTGTAACGTGCCGGCGATTTTTAGCGACTGCGGTCGCACCGATTCGCTGCGACTTGTTTAAACATGTAGAACTAAATAGCTTAGTGCAGCGTGCCCGCGACCGGCGAACCTATTATGATTAGAATATTACATAAGTAATTTAAATTGTAATAATGAACCCAGATAGGTTAATTGATGCAGTTCGTAATCGCTGCAGAATATTAATTGGATGAATATTAAATCTCCTTCTGTATTATCTTTCATATGGCACGGAATTTTCAAACAAAAAAGTTTTGATAATAGTATGGACGTATATCCATTTTTCCTGTAAGTATTCGATACGATAATTATTCGAAAATTCAATAAGCTATCGGTCGGTCGCCGGTAACGTTACGTCGCTGGTCGCTCGCACTGTATTTCGTCGTTAGAAGTCGTTGCGAGTCGATATCACCGGCACGCTGCACGAGCCCTAATGAAGACAGAACACGTGTATAATAATGTCGTCGGTATTGCTGGATGCAATAGACGGCTATAGCCAGTCAGAATGGTGCCACTAAGGTTAAGCCTCGTGTGCTTTTTTTCTATCTTTTTGAAACCGTCCTCATCGCACTGGTCAACTCGTCTCTATGTCACCGATGACACAACTCCAGAGATGAGATGGGAAATTGCTCTTGAAGAGGTCATAGACAGCGCAGCAGATCGGTTGGATATTTTGTATTAAGATCTTCATTCAAATAATGCGCTCCTCCGTGTAACTTTGAAACTTTGTGCCAGAGTTACCTTGAAGCTTGGAGCCCATGAAACTTTGTAACTATGTATAAATGGGGAACCGACTACGTTATTAATTCCAAAATCATGTCTACAGAATGACATTGAGTTGAATTAGTTTATCCAAAACTGGATGAAACTTCGACAGTTTTGCGAACGCGCAACTCAATACAAACAACAAGGTTAAATCTGAATGAAAATAAATCAGAGACTGACGTCATAAGTAGGGTTGCCAGATCTTAAAACCAAATAGCCGGGACATTATTACAGACAGGACAAGGAGCTCTGCTGCTACTAAACTAGCAGCAGAGCTCCTTGTGAAAGAGTTTGTCACATTGGACTTGTCATCTTATGTCTCAGAGTGACTGTTATGGAGTGTCGTTGGCGGTTTTGATCAATATTAACTGACAACATTCATCGAAACTGACGCTGGCCCAATCCTAGTGGCCGCCATTAAGGAAATAGAATAGACTGTTATGGACAGGCGTACGACTTATTTGTCCGGTTACTTTGTATCGTACGAAAAAAGTCATTGCCATTTTTTTTTATATTAAACACGTCTTGATCATTTATTAATAAATCTTTTTAAACTCTAATGAAATTGTAATAAGATTGAGTACAACAGTCGTCTTTAATATTAATTATCTACTATTGCAATGACTATCCATATATTAGAAAAAAAAACCCCACGAAATATAATAATTCTAACAAAAACCGGACAAGCCGGACAGGTTTAATTTGGCTGGACAAGCACCCAAAAAGCTAACTATGTCCCGGCTTTATTCGGACGCCTGGTGACGCTACTTATAGGGAGTAATAAACGTAACAGAAATGTCTAATTAAACCACAAGTAGTGTAGAACATTCGCATCTCATCTTGCGATGAATAGTAAATACGTACAAGATAATATATTATTAATATTAACAAGTTTAAAGTTAAATTCAATGTTATCAAGTAATAAATATGATAATATAGGTTAAAGTGCGGTGCCCTCCCAATTTACAATTTATTTTTTGTCCCAGATATATATCGTATTTTGTAGCAGTGAGTACGTCTAGACACGTATTTTTATGAGAAAATGTGGTCCAAAGTGATACTTCTGTGTATTATTGGATGTACTAGTTCGGTGAGTTCTATTCTAAGCACAGAAGCTCTTGTATTTCCAAAATATAGTTACTGGCGTATGTAAAACCTTTATAATATATGTTGTTAACATACATATTTTTACAGAAAAAAACTGTTTCGTAACAAAATAAATAAATAATGATGAGTTGTGTATAAAAATACGCCGCTGGATCAGACGTTGAAATCTTGTTAAATTTTAAACTCTGACATCCAATCTAGTATGATAATGTGTCTTAGAAGTCAGATTCTTCCCAATAAGATTCGGTTACCACTGATATTCCGTTGAGAAAAATTGAAGAGAGAAACAAAGTATAATATAATAAATACTAAAAATAAAAATAACATAATTAAAACACATAGTTTAAAAAGAGTAAATAAGCAACAATGTTTGACTTTTGTGGGTGGAGTGATGTCTGAATGCATGTGCAGGAAATTGTGTTTAAAGTTTCTGAATGTAAGTTTTAATTTGAATTATATTCATCGAGTAAATAACCAGAAATAGAGACGAAATAAGGGCCATCCATCCCTGGCAACTCATCAGGTAAATGGTCCTTATATCACATTTAAATATTAACTCTCGTTTGCGCTGAAATCACAAATTAGAAAACTGAAACAGTACAGCGCCAACAACTGACCTGTGTACGTCTTCGTATATTCCAAAAATATTCTGTATTTATTATAATAAAGATAATATCTCAAACAATGGGGGCTGTTCCATTCGGTGGTGTGGGAAAAACGGCAAAACATCTAATTACAAAACAAACGGAATCACATTTCATCGGTAATTAAATATTAAATATGTAATTTTGCAATTTTCGTCCATTGTAGCAAAGCTCAAGTTAGACTGGTCGATTCGAAGTGCAAACAATTAACGACTCCCGTCAATTGTTTCGAATTCGGGCTGGCCAATCGGAGCGCAGTTGTCACAGTAATGATTTGACAGAATAGTTTTCAAACAAATTAAATAACACTTCGTCTCTATTTCTGGTTATATATATACTCGATGATGATATTGTTCTGAGCGTGCGATATGCTGCAGCTATGCGCATCTTAAATGTTATTAAGATTCCCGTCATCAACATTATCACCAACCCATTATCTTCCTACTGCTATACACGAGTCACTTCTAAAGATAAATTTTAACCCATAGTTCATCTCATTTGCAGCAGTTTACATCTCCAGTCACATCTGCCCAGAGACATGTAAACCTTCCCCAACACACAGGACTCATCACGCTGTTTTCCTTCACAAAAGTCACTGTTTCGTCCCACAGTAGGAATCGTCCACTCTAGAACAAGTTTGCTCTATCAACCATCAGCCCTCCTGCAGACATGTCCGACCCACTGCCACTAAGTTTACTGATTTTGCACGCTATGGCCAGGGCTCTGTCACTCGCTCGTGGTTAAGCGATATGTCTACCACTGAGTGTATCGCCGACAGTGCAAGCGCTCAGGCAAGTCTATCGTTTACATTACAATCCGTGTACAACCCCAGCATTCGGTTCAGCATTCAGCATTCGGTCGCACGACTGCACACGGCGGACAACGTTATTTTCATCTCACTGAGCGTGTGCTTAGGTTCCTTTTTCGTCGTAGTGAGCGCCTGGTGTTATTTAGTAGGCTATTATAGCGTAGGTGTTTTCGATTTTGTATGAGAGTGATGTATCAGTTTGCTTAGTAACTATTAAGTAATCTGTGTTATGGCGGTTACTTTAGTTCACGGATTTATGACTTTATTAGGAATTCTGTCTATCAGAGAAACCTCAAGCATAGCTCGCTCCATTACATTTAAATACGACATTAAATATTCTTCTAATTAAGTTATTAATGTATTTTTTTTGTAAAGTAGACGCTTGATTACAATCGGGTGAGATTTTAAGCAAAAATGTGACCGACAATGGTACGCATCACCGTGTCGAGTACCACCAAACGCAACACTTATTCGTCCCTTTACTCAGTATCATAAAACAAGACTCCTTAGTCAAGACCCGTGACTCTAGCCGGAGGTATATTTGTTAAGTTGAATTCAATTACAAACAGCCAGTCTAATTATATGTGTGCCTCCTTCTAGCTGACGACGTCTTTCGACCTAGGTGGAGTCATGTCAGGCAACCGTATGGCAGGAGTTCCCCTGGGCAGATCGCTGGGAGCCGGAGAGCTGGACGTGGAAGGCGTCTGTACGAGACAAGGAATCACTTGCCAGAACTGTGATAGAATTGTTACATGCGTACCATTGCCGATTGGTTTCTTGAAGGTGAGTTACATACATATATAATTATATGGTGTAATTAAGGTTATAATCTTATAAGTCGCTCGAACATTGGTTCACTAACAGTTATCACAAAACTATTAATAAGTTGGTCAAATAGTTCGTACTGTTTTTGACCCTAAATTATATAATAAAAAAATAGTAATTGTAGTAGGAGTACACCCCGGGTGGTGGAGGTTGACTCGGCTAGCTGGTGCCCCCTTACTATGTCCAGGAATCAAAGTAAGAAATTTGGTGAAGACTTGGTTTATTGTACAACATCTTACAATAGGCTTACAATACAATGATGTCCAATAAAAGGTATTCGTCCCGTTGAATGCAAGCGCGGCGCAGAGTCCGCGACTAGGTCCGGTGGGTACAAATATTACAAAAAGACACTCACTCAGAGATGTTCTCGTAACCTGTTCCGAAAGACAGGCGCGAGTTAGAGATGCTTCCGCTTAATAGAGAGGATAACCGTAAGAATGCAGTCGTTGAATTGATCAAGCTCTTACAAAATACTGGTGACAGGTCCTTACTTTAGGGAAAATCTTAACACCGCGATTCAGAAATTGCGTTTTCTATGTCAATGCCATCTAGCGGTAAACTTCGGAACTATTTTCACTAATATTGCCAAAGTTGTGTTACATAATAATAAAAAAGCTAAAATAGTAAAATGAAAACTAAATTGAAACAAATAACTTTTTATTTTTAACCGACTTCACCAAAAGGAGGAGGTTCTCAATTCAACTGCATGTTTTTTTTTGTATGTATGTCACGCGATAACTCCGGTATTTGTGAACCGATTTTGATGATTCTTTTTTTGTTGGAAAGAGGGTACCTCCATAGTGATCCCATTTAATTTCGAAGAAAATCATCCACCTCTAAGGGTAGCTGTTCACGCATGAAGAATTTTTATAAATAGCGTCTAAATTTTTTATAAGGAGCAATTATTTTAATGGTTGATTTTGCTAGTCTCCAAGTCAAGGCGTTTTTCTCTCTCAATATACTTTGAGTAGTGAGAACCGATTTTTATTATCTCCTGTGTCAAGTCCCGTATAGTGGCGAACTAGGGGATGTATCCGGGTTTGCGCACTTTCCGGTAACCGATTTCAACAAAACTTGGCAAATAGACTTAGAAGTTAGAATACTTTTGAGGTCGGTTTTTTCAGTACTCAGTACTGAGATTATAAAGAAAACCATCCTCAAAAGTTTGCTTACCGACTTTTTAATTGGAATTATATCTATTTTATAGGTGGAATATGTTCTTCAATTTTAAATAGGACCAATACTGAGGTAATACCCCCTTTCAAACGAAAAATAATCATAGAAATCGATACTTTGTGTATCGAGTAATCTCTTAAGCCTATATCCATAATATTGACCTTTTAGGCTAAGTCCAAATTCATAGCACCACGATTTCCTTTAACCAAGGTAAACGACTCTTTTGTGGAGAACTGTATACGTTTTTACAATAAGATTCCGGAACATCATTTCTTATGATTAAAACCTACATTGAAAATATTTTAATTGAAAATTATAGACTACGTGTTAGATAAAGATGTATAGAAATACGACATGGATCTAGATTCCACAAAAATTTGATTCAAAGTTTATTCCATAGCATTTCAGTTTATTTGAAAAGGGCAATCCCTAGAGTTTCTTGCTCGTTTTTCTAAGGGAAGTCAACTTAGTGAACGCTTAAAAGCTTAAAAGTGACATTTGTAATTGTAAATTTATTTTACCTATGGAATAAATGATTTACATGACTATGACTTTGACTTGTCTCGTCCTTTTTTTAAAGTCGATTAAAAATATTATCGCAGGATTGACTGTCAACAGTTTTTAACCTTGATGCGTTATCTATTCACTTAACCTCAAAAGTAAGAAAATATATTTATTAAAATTATATAACTACAGAGCTTAACATAAATATCCGACCATCCTTTACCTCGTGATCGCTAACAAATCAGTAAAAAAAAATATTTAAAAATATATTAAGTATATTAGGCATCTACTTTAAAAGCTCCTATTAATCAATATAATTCAAAAATATTACAATAGCACTGTAAAAACGTCTATAGATTTTACATATCAACCAATCTTCGAGATATACTTCTCACTAGTGACGCAACGGAAGTGTCATGACGGAAACAGAAACGGAAACTGAAGCGGATGCGGATGCGGATGTGTAAATACTATAAAGATCTCGACGAAACAAATTCAAACAAGCCTCGTTTTTTTATTTCATAATTGCACTTTTTTGGCCTTTGCCTAGCAGTGGGATAGACCAGGGTTATAAAAAATATTACACTTAAAACAACACAAAACTGCTGAAACTCACGCGCCCCACCGACCGCCTAGCAATACGTAAGCGCATTCATCGCGAACGCCACTTCCGATGAAAGTTCCGTGATAGAGGTTGCGGAAGCAGAAACGATAACAGATTTGAAAAAGCTTCCGGAACTTCTGCAGTTGCCGAAGCAGAAGCAGAGGACTGTTGCATTGCTACTTCTCATTATCATAAGCAACATTATTTACAAATACTTTAAAAAAGCTTTGTTCACTTCCATGACAAGTTATTTACAAAAAACACCTAAAAGGTTTTGTGTGTGTAAAATAACTATGACAGTTATCTATGAACTTATCTGATTTTTAATTTTACATTGTCACGTCATGCACTGTTAATATTACTGAACCTAGCTCCCCAAAACCCTGAAACATTAAAAAAGAGTGATTGAAACATTGACTTACAATTATGTGGACGTCGGGTCCGCGCTAAAAAGTGTCCGAACTTATAGGGCGTTAAAATCGTATACAGAGCGTCATTCACGCTTTAGTCTTCGTTTGTTCGACTGACAGCGAAGCAAGCAAAATTAGACAGTACTGCGATGACATTACAATTTAAATTCAACGTTTTAGCTTTTTCATATTCCTTTACATATCACTACGTTTAAATAGGTTGACTTGGGACATTTTTTTCGTGGTTTTCGTATTAGACCCGTCGTCCATTTATTTGTAAGTCAATGGATTGAAATAAACAAAATGTTGTGTAAGATAATAACACTATGTAACGTATTTTCAAAAAGTTTCTTAACATTAAAATTTTAGCTGAACAAAAAAAAATTATAGTTGCACAAAAAATATAAAAAATAATGTGTAATTTTAATTTTAACACTGATTGAAATAAAATTCCACATTTTGAGGAATTTCTCATAGTTTGATGTTTTTATTTCTGTATACTATGTGATTGCTATTGAAGTGTCACCGTGACAATTGATAGGCAATACTTGATTAGGGTCTTGTTTTTGTTTTTTTCTTATTATACTAGAACACCAAATTTTATTTACCTTGTATTTCGCGCTGAGTAAATTTGAATTCCTTTGCGAAATAAATATTTCAAGCTATAAATATGGGTTTCTGTTTGTTTGAGCACCTTGTATAAGCCTTTATTGTAGAAAAGAGTAATTATATCCCTGAAACTTTGCTTATGTGGCTCTCATAGCGCCATGCCTGTTTAGATAGCTACATAGCGGTATTTAGGTAAGCTCAAAAAATCTACACATTTCTATGTTCTTTGTCATCAATTTGTAAAATTTTGGCTGTAATATACCTCTATATTGATTTGAAATATAATTGTTGTCTTTAAATATAGAAAAATCCGAAAAATTCTGCGTTTCCTTAATGGTATGCAAATTTCAACCTTTCTTGTTCGGACCGCAAAAGCAAATTTTTGCTGAGTTTTTTCATGAATTTTTTCATATTATCAATGTCACAATGTTACAATTAAATATACAATGTCAAGGGAATAATATGATCGTCACAAAATGGTCACAAACACGTTTTTATATTAGAATCAATTAGAAAATGTTATTGATAACCCAGAAACACAATCGTGAGACGTGGTGCAATATAACTTGCTTCCATCTGAGCGTATCAAACACGATTGCATCAACAAGCACAATGTTTACAGCAACATACACAATTATTGAATAACAATATTTTTAATGTATTGTGCCAGGAGCCAGTTAAGATAGACACCAGCTGTTGTATTTATGAAATAGCTCATATCTATTGTTTTATAAATACAAAAGCTTTTAATCAATTGGAGAGTTAGGAAAAGAATTCAATTGATCCCATTTCTTAGACCATACAGATTTCTTACAATAGCTCATAAAAGGGGGAGTAGGAAATGATTGAGTTGGAAACTTCTTTGGCGTATACCCAAACGTCCATTGTCGATATTTGATTCGCTTCCATTTTCAGTGCAGCGGTGTTATACAGTTCTTCTGTGGAACGATTTACACTATGACTATTGGATGAGGATTTTTCGGATCGATTTTCGGTAGAACCCATTTGGGAAGTCAACTTTTCTACATTGGTATGGTCTGTCTGTTCTAGGTAGTCCCCAAGGAAATAAGTCTCTTAAATTGGTTTAGATGTTAAGATTATGAATACAAAGATCGAACACGCGGAACATTTTTTTGCGACCCGGTGGGACTTGAACCCAAGACCATGCTGCACCGTAGCATTGCTCTAACCGTCTGAACCACGGGTCCAGTTACCGAGTCGTCGAAATTCTCTTAAGTGTTTTTGTTATAGGTCTTTGTACTAGTTTTCGGCGCTGCTAATAAGATAAGATAAGATAAGATAAGATAAATTGAGATTAGCACGGGATCGTGGGGAGTGGCACAGAAACTTCGAGGCCTGTACCCAGCAGTGGGTGAAGTCCGGCTGTATATGATGACGACACCTAGTGACACTTTTTTTTAATAACCTTCTCACCGCAACTGGTAAAGACGATTGTTTGGTTTGGATGGTTTCGATAACGATTGGTTTCGGGTGACAATTTGAGTTTTGATGATAATCGTACTCATAACTCTATTAATTTTGTTCCAGTTCCATTATTGACAAATGCAGACGGAAATGAATTAAGGGCGTCTGTTGACGTCAATCTAAACAATTTCGAAATCTTAAAACACAATCTGGTTTTTCAGGTACCCCTTCAAGAGTGCGCGGAAGGCCAAACCTGTAACGCCCACGAAGGCAGGTGCTCGCAGACACCAGTACCTGAATGTGATATCGTCACTCAGAAATATGAACATACCTGTGAACAGGTTAGTGCCACATCACCACAACCTACCTTTAACACTAGACTACCACCATACCTACTTTTGCCGCCAAGCAGTAGTATGATCATTTCTGCGTTCCAGTTTTGAAGTTGAATTTAAAGCCTTTAGTTTACTCCAAATTGCGTGTTCCAAAATACATAAAACAATTTATAAAAACTTGAGCTTGCAATAAAACCAAAACGCAAGTCATGTACAAACTAGAACTTGCATTGTTTTTGTTAAAATAACCGTTTAAGTTATAAAACCAAAACGAGAGGACGCACAGCGATCATAATCTGAAGCTAAAAAGTTCAAGGCGGTTAAACGCATAAACAAGGCGATATTTCCGTATAAATGTTTTAGAATATCGACGGAACTCAATTCTTATCCAAGTAATACGAGATACAAACCTTTGAACGATTTGTATGTTGTTTACAGACATAAGGTCTTATATTGGCCATTCTTTCTACTTAAAGAAGACACTTTCTTTCAAGTCGGATTCCCGATAAGCTAGAAATAACAATCCTGGAACCAGTTCCACCAACTTTTTTTTATGATATCAAGTGACGGAATGAACGAGTCGTGCGCCTGGTGGTAGGCGACACGCCTGTCAATAGCAGTTGCAGTCACACTCAGAGCTTTAAATCGCAAAGATCTGAGTATGACTAAGGAGGTACCTAAGTACGTTAAACGCCTGAAAGCGCTTCAAGAAAATGCTTCAAAATCCATTATTTTAAAAAAATATTTTGCTTTTACAAAATCGATTACGAAATTCATTCATTATATTGTTAGAAATCTAAACCAGAAATCATAAAAACGACTTAAAATTAAGAATAATTTTAATGAAATAAAAATCGGTTACAAAATCTAATGTTCAAATTTGAAAAGCCATACAAATCAACGACAGGAGTACACCAGCAAAAAGCAAACCAGCTGTTAGCTTCGTTTGCAACGCCTTATAGGGATAGTATTGGTCAGAGGTATTGGAAAGAGATCGTCCAGAGAAGTACTGCCACCTTACCTATTTCTGCTGCGAAGCAGTAATGTGTACTGGTGAAATTAAAAGCTCTTGGTACTTGTCAACTTATGCCTCAGTAGGTTTGGGCGCGGTGGGAATGCTCAGATCTTTGCGAATTAAAGCTCTGAGGGGCACTGCAACTGTTATGGACAGACGTGTTTCTTTTTATCAGGCGCACGACTTGTTCGTCCTGTCAAAAAAAAAATTAAAAACCATTAAAAAACCCATCAAAGTACTCTCCGTGTTAAATTTCTTTTTTGTCGCTTCAATTAATCGCGGTAATGGCTGTATTAATTTTCGATATGGATTTAATTCTCATAATTTTCATCCAGGTGGGAATATTCCCCGATGCATACGACTGCCGTAAGTTCCACCTCTGCTCGCCTCCCGAAGGCTTCCCTGATGGTAGACCTGCGGACCACAGAGTAGCGTTGTGTCCCAGACATTATGGATATAATGCTCGTACTGCACAGTGTTCGGTAAGACTTCTTCTAAGGTATCTTCAAAATATACAGAACTATAATAAAATACTAACAACCTTGCAGAACTATATTGCTAACATCATAAAGTGTATTCTTAGGTTTTCGCGATTGTTACACATAGGAAATGAAACAATTTTTCAGGATTTGTCCGGAATTGCATTCTTCTAGGAGTTTCGAAGAAAGAACGTCGTATTTTTGCTAATTAAAATATCAATTAGGACGCTAATCAAAGTATATACTGCCGGGCCAAAAACTTTATAAAGATAAATTATTGGTTAAAATAACGCGGTACTTGGCGAGTTCTATTCTATCTCTTTGGTTTTTTGCTTTGTGTAGATTTTGTCTAAATAAAAATATGAAGAGGCTGTATAGTGGAACCTTCGCCAAAAAAAAAATTGCGTTTGTTGCATTCACTTAGAAATAAATGGACGACGGGTCTAATACAAAAACCACAAAAAAAATGTCCCAAGTTAACCTATTTAAACGTAGTGACATGTAAAGGAATATGAAAAAGCTAAAACGTTGAATTTAAATTGTAATGTCATCGCAGTACTGTCTAATTTTGCTTGCTTCGCTGTCAGTCGAACAAACGAAGACTAAAGCGTGAATGACGCTCTGTATACGATTTTAACGCTCTATCATAAGTTCGGACACTTTTTAGCGAGGACCCGACGTCCATATAATTGTAAGTCAATGGTTTGTTGTCATGGATTCCAAAATATACATTAAATAATTATTCGGTTTCATTATTTTATTTATTCGTAGAAAAACTGTTATAAGCAATCATTACATAATAAGGTCTTAAAATACCGTACCTATTACTTAGACCAATCGGCAAAGCCTCGTGGGTAAATGGAACTCAATAGTCGACTTTAAGAACCATCATTATGCAACGATTGCATAAAATACTATTATTATCTGTGAAATAACGATAATTTGAATTTAATTAAACTGTACTTGCAGCAGACCCATATTCAGCTGGGATATACGGTAACTAAAGTAGTAGGTGACAAATAACGAAACTGTCACAGCCTGCACCGACATCAATTGCGTTCCAAAGTCTTAAATTCGATTAATCAAAATGTATTCTGAGGGCGCGTTCCCGCTATGTCGTGACGACAGATTGTCGTGCAGTTTACAGTGTCATGGCTCGCATATTTAAATGAAGTTGTTCACATATAGCACGACACGATTAACTGTCGTTCACGATTTTTTATCGTTACAACGACAAACTGCCGTCACAGTGGGAACAGCTAGAACGACAGTCGTCGGACGATAAAAAAAAGTCACGATAAAACTTGACGACAGATTGTCGCAGCTTCTATTGTCGTCACGTTTTATTTATCGCTGTCCGCACGTATTCTGCTCCCTGCGCTCGCCTCTCGTACCCCGTGCCCTCCACTCGGTTTTCAGTAGCGTTGGGTCGTAGCCAGAGATGGGCAAGAAGGCTGTCGTGAAACGATAAATTGTCGTCACGATCTAGAGGGAACACCTAGTCACAACAGTCGTTCAACGATAAAAAATCGTCCACGATAAATAGTCGTGATATGGGAACAGGCTAGACACGACAGTCGTTCAACGATAATAAAACGTGACGACATAATGGGAACGCGTCCTTAACCTGTATAATAAACGTAAATCTTATGCGTCATTGTACTTACATAATTGTTACTCAAATAGTTTTCCCATGAGCTTATACTAAATTTGCCTCTTACACGGCGGAGGATCGTAAAAATAATCTACAGCCTGTGGCGGTCGTTAAAATTTAAATTAATAAGCATAAAGCGCACATCCAGTCTTTGAACGGAAATCTGTACTTAAAGTTATTCAGGCTTTATTAAACATATTGCAACAGTTTAAGCTACCGCATAGGAATGAAACCCGTATCTGATATTGGTAGTTGAAGCTTTTTAAACTTTGTTTATTGTATTTCTCAGTTTTGTTTTCTTTTTATATTTCATGGGAAATAATGCTACATTTTGTTTATGCCTCTGCCTGACTTTTCATTGTCAATAAAATATGGGATATACACATTGACTTACAATTATATGGACGTCGGGTCCGCGCTAAAAAGTGTCCGAACTTATAGGGCGTTAAAATCGTATACAGAGCGTCATTCACGCTTTAGTCTTCGTTTGTTCGACTGACAGCGAAGCAAGCAAAATTAGACAGTACTGCCATGACATTACAATTTAAATTCAACGTTTTAGCTTTTTCATATTCCTTTATTTTTTTCGTTGTTTTTTTGTATCAGACCCGTCGTCCATTTATTTGTAAGTCAATGGACATACATGATAAATTAACAATTGAAGAGTACAGGGACAGAATGATCCGAAGTCGCTTAAATTTTTAATTTGGAGAACTTTTAAATTTTGGTGAAAAAGACACGCACGAATACTATCTGAAATATAGGCAATGCTGACGTTGTCAGGTTACGGGAACAAGGCAAATGAGTTAAACTCTAGCGTTGTGCTTAGACTGGTTTATTTCACATTCGGTCTACCCACAATATAAAATATATCCATATACCAGACAGACGTAAATGTTTGTACAGCTACGGAATCCGTTTTAACTAAAAAACATTTATAAATCATTTTTACCTTTTCTACCATTTACTCACAAGAATTTTGTATGACTAAAAGTAAAATCTGATTTTTCAGGACATTGAACCTTATTAGCCTTTTTCTGATTAAACGTTTACCGACCTGAATGGCGGTATAAACTCAAAACGTGTTTTAAGCGACTTTGATAGTTCTTTCCCTGGTCTCTTCAATTATTAAGATCCAATTACGGAGAACACCACATCGTTCAACTAACATCAGTCCCTATAAGATGATGTTTGGGAGACCAATTAGAACCAATTACCACGCACTATTTGCTAAACCAACAACGACCACGTCTCCACCTCTAGCACGCAATTTCCCACGCCTGTTACGGACTCTCCGGGAGGGCCAGAGAGTTCAGACTCGGAACTACATGCCGACTGGTTCAAAATGGATGTTGGCAACCGTAAGAAGGAAGTAGGGTCAACTACGAGCTCCAAACTCACACCGGAGAAGTCTGGAAGAGACACATAGACCAGCTTCTGGCGACCAGACTTCCCCGCCAAAATTAAGAGGGAGGACCAGATATATACGTAGCTGGAAGTAATGCTATATTTTGTTCATGTCACCGCCTCTACCTGACTTTTCATTGTCATTAAAATATTTGTACATATCAGAATACATTAATATTTAGTAGCAGTAGAAAGAGTGAAAGAGTTCAACTACTGCAGTACTGCCACCTTACTTATTTCTGATCAAGCAGTAATGTCAACATTACTGTGTTCCGGTTTTGAAGGGTAAGGGTGCTGGTGAAATTACAGGCACATGGGACTTGTCAACTCATGTCTCAGAGCGACGGGCGCATTGGCAGTGCCCCTATCTTTGCGACCTAAAGCTCTGAGTGGCACTGCAACTGACATGGACTGGCGTGTATCTTACCATCAGACGCACGACTTGTTCGTCGAGTCACTTGATATTATAAAAAATATATATTTGAAATTTTGATCAGATAAGAAGTAATGAATGCTTTAATGGAATAATTTTTTAATATTTTGTTTTTTAATTATGTTGTGAGTTTAAGTGTCAATGATAAGTATGTAATATTATGTATGTACAATAATTAGGCTGTAATTGACTAACACACTAACCTTGTATAACTATAATAAAGTTAAGTACGTTAAACTGTTGCTGAAGCAATAAATAATTAAACCCAAGCTTATGTCTAACCCCCCGATGATGGGAAAGGTGAAGGCGGAATTAAATCTGCTTCTTTGAAAACTGTCCTGTCGTACCAGCCGCGGCGCTAGCCCGTGGAGCGCCCTAGTGCAATCAATACTAGCGCCCTCTAGTAGACATGCGATCAAAATAGAATACTTGCAGTTATATTTTTCACAGTGATCGGGTGCAAATGGTGCAATTATAAATAATGTTGGGGAGACAATAGGTCGGTTATTTTGAAAGAAACAAAGAAAGAAAGAAAGAAACATTTATTCAGTACCTTTAAATTGTATGTACATAAAAATAATTTAAAAACTAAAATTACTGATACTGAATGGGCACCGCTCAGCATGTGCCGTGGCTGAGAACAGCCACGTCGCTGGTATTATGCGGAGCCCAGGGAGTGCGTCACAGGCGCACTAAACTAATACTACAAAAACATTGACTTATTTAAATTCGCAATATGCGTACAAAGAATTTATGATGCGACAAAATGTGTGATGCTTAACTATATCTATACCTATTGTTAATTTATTTATAATTTATTTATAATTAATTGATAATATTATGTTATGTATGCAAACACCATTCAACTATCAAACAAACTTAATTATATATAAAAAAAATATATATTTTATTTAAATATATTTCGTTTACTTGCTCGGCGCCCCCTAAGAACCTGAGCCCGTATGCACCGCACACCTTGCACCATAGACAAAGCCGGCACTGCTTTAGATTAATTCCGTCGAATAATTTGGTATTGAAGTTGTTTATAAATATTAATTTTGCTAAAGAACAGAAGCGCTATCAATAATAGATAGCTCTTCCGTTTCAATTATTCATTATTTTATATTAGTGCCCTTTTCACTGCAGAAGAGCACTAAACAAAAATATTGCATAAATGTTTATGTACATATATTTCTTAAAACAAAAGTACTGAGAACAATTATCCAGTTGAGAATTCATTCGAAAACAAATATGTTTAATTATCGGAACCCTTATGCACAAAACTGTACCACCTTATTGCGTGTTTCCACATGTTTATGATATAATTTACTTGAAAACAACGGTTCAGTGATCAAAATAACATTGTCTATTCTCATATGAGGGCAATGTGGGGCAAATAGGCAATCAGCCTCTCGTTTGAAACATAGACATAGGTGTAAAGCCCATTACCTACCAAAGCGGAACGAAGAACTGTGTTACAGAAACCAATTGGATTTTGTTATTTGGACTTGGACAGCGAGGAGATGTAACAACAGCAAAGTACTATTGATTTTGAACGATTATAGACCAACGAAAGACTTGTTATGTAATTGTATGAATTTATATATATTTGGAACATTTGACAACTAGGAATTCTGGTGTACATTGAAGCATAATAAATAATTATTTCTTATCTCTTTGCACCCACGCACACAAACACGCGCGCGTACACTAACATAACATAGTTCAACTCTTATAATAATAATAACGCACACACTCAATATAGACCGGCTGGCCCTAGGGAAGACCCTGTGTCGCGGGTGCCATGGACACACACATAGACAATCACAAATTACACCCAAACTCACGAGGGAAGTAAATGTCGGCTATATAAGTATTTCTCCCGGCCCGGGAATCGAACCTGGGACCTCGCGTGGCAGTCCAACGTGGTAGCCGTTCGGTCACGGAGGCACTTCATATAGTCGTTAGTTTATCCTACTTAAAATATCATTTTGTATTAATTAAAATTTCACATTTTTTGCACGAACCTCCACAACCAGATTATATTTTTATATTCTGTGAAGCATTTTTTTTATGATAGCAAGTGACAGGACGAACAAGTCGTGGGCCGGGTGGAAGACGACGCGCCTGTCCATAACAGTTGCAGTGCCACTCAAAGCTTTAAATCACAAAGATCTGAGGGGCACTACCACTGCGCCCGTCACCCTGAGTCACGTTTACCCTTCCAAACAGGAACGCAGCAATGCTCACACTATTGCTTGGTGGTAGAAATAGGTAACGTGGCAGAATTTCCTTGGAAGAATTCTTCCACAAGGAGCTCTACTAAAATGCACTGTTTATGGAGATAACAAAATTAGTTTTTATTAAAAAAAATATATCTACATCCCAACCTCGGTCTCGTCTAATGAAAGGGCCGTATTTCAACATTAGATTTGCAGTTTATTTTTTAGTTATCAAGTATAATTAAGAAAAACTTTCATAGATTTATCACAGATAGCGCTAAGGCTAAGGCTGTAAAATGCACAAAAAAATTCGAGGTTTACTGACTTGATCTGTAGATACGAGTCCTGTCAGATAGATAGAATTTTTTCTAAGTTTTCGACCTTTGTATTAATAATTATAACAAAATAGTCGAATTATTTCAAAATAAATTAATATCATGATAGAATACATCATAATATTCATTACAATCAATATCATGTATTATTTGTTCGATGTTCTGTTGCAGTCCACAAAGGTAACCCTTTTCAAAGCTTATTGTTCTTCTTTTTACGATGGTACCCTATGTAATCGACATACACAAAAGTCGTACATTGCTCTCCGCATTCAATACAACAATGCTTTTGCGACAAGGATGCTGTTGCGACTGTAGCGGGCAGACTCCTGTTTTTGCCTTATCATGGAAGAAAATCACTTCTCTCTTAAACCGACTATGTAACAGCAACAACAACAATAGATTCTATTAGCAGTAGAGCTCGTTGTGTAAGAGTTCTGGTGAAATTACAGGCGTCTTAGGGTGACGGGCGCGTTGGCAGTGCCCTTCAGATCTTTGCGATTTAAAGCTCTGAGTGGCACTGCAACAGTTATGGACAGGCGTGTCGCTTACCGCCAGGTCCCGTCACTTGGTATTATTCAAAAAAGCACTTCTAAGTTCAAAACAATGTACTGACATACGTCTGTTACTAATTTAAATACGCATTTACGTTGTCTGAAAATAAATAAATTATTATTGTCATTGTTACTTAAGGTTGTGGCACAAATGTTTATTTCAAATCATTAATTTTCAGGAGAAATTAAGCAACGGACAGTGCACTCAAAGACCAGTGCCTGACTGCCCACAAGAAGGCTTCACAGACATTCTACCAGCCAGTACAAACCATTACTACGTGTGCTTACGAAAAGGTGACCACATATACCCTCAGATCTTCATTTGTCCTCACGGTTGGGAATTTTGGGATGGATTCTGTCGCCCTGAACCAAAACCTACTGAATCTGGACCAGTTAACGAAGTTGTTACTGAAGTAACTAGCACTACAGAAAACCAAGAAGATAAAACAGATAACTGTAAGGGAGAAAGAACTACGACTAAAATTGAAAGTTTCTTTTCAACTGACAAACCTGTTACAAATCCCACTGATACGTTTTTGGCTGATAAATTCGATCTGACCCACTACGAGTCGACAGATGACGTTGCACCACCTGCTGAATACTATAGTTCATTTGAACATAATGATTTTTGGTAAATGTATTTATTGTCTGCTTTATAAACTTACACGATTTGAATTTTTTTTATTGAGATCTGGAACTGTGATATCAAAATACAATTCAGGATTCCGAATAACTTGTAACATTCGTCAGATCTGTGCGCACCCTAAAGAGCCAGCAATGTCGGCTTGTTCGAAAAAAAATGGAAAAATAAACGAGATTTAGATCCGAAAGAACATAGTTTCTGTTTGTCATAAAGTTCTAAATTAAGTAACAAATTAAGGTAAAATCTAAGAATGCTTAATATAGAAGAAAACGAAAAAAAAAACAAATTTTCTACATTTCATTCTTGTAATTAAATTTTTATTGAATTGATATTCAATTTTTTTTTTGTGAAATTACCTCCACTAGTTTGTTATAATTATTAATACAAAGATCGAACACTCAGAAAAAATTATTTCGATCCGGTCGGATCGAACGTACGTGGCGACGACGTGTCACGGTATGCAAGAAGTTGCATACCGTGCCAGACGCTATACCAACTAAGCCACGGAACGAACCAACGGACCTCACGAATTTTTCTATGTGCTTGCGTCGTGTCTTTGTATTTGGTTTTTCAACGACTTTTTAGTCGTAGCGCCATCTATGAGAAATCTATGAAAGATTTATCACCCAGTTAGTACCTTTACAGCTACCAGTCCTGGCGAGAGATGTCGCTATTCACTGTATTAATGAAATTTTTATTGAATTGATATTCATTTTTTTTTGTGAAATTACCTCCACTAGTTTGTTATAATTATTAATACAAAGATTGAACACTCAGAAAAAATTCAATTCTTCTAGTTAAATGTTTCCACTTTGTACATCGAAGCTTATTTTTTGGCTAGCTGCTAGCGTTCTGGACTCCACATATTTAAAAAAGGCGGTCTAAAATTTCTTGTTTGGTTTTACTATTCTAAAATAAGAAGTTATAGTGAATTTAGCGGTAAAATATTTGAAAAGTAACTACTCATTATTAAACAAATCTATTAAGTATAATATAACCTAAAAACTTCGAAATTACCCAATTAGGTATAAGTCTGCAATATCTAGTCAAAATCATGTATGAAGAATTTCAGAAAATAAATTCGTTTGCACAAAAGATCTGAGATTCTTATTCATACAAAGATCTGACAATATAAAGGAAGATTCCTTTGATCTGACTGGATACGAACCCGCGTCTGTTGCCGCGTCTGGTGCTACAGATCTATACTTCGTTTCAATCCATTTTAAACAAAAAGTAAACAAACAAGACTGACTGAAGACTGACCTGACTATAGACGGTTTAGTGATGGCCAATTATAATGCAAACTAAAAATCGACTAATTTATTTGAATGAATTGATTTGTTTAATTGAGTCGTGCGTATAGTTTTCCTTACATGAATAGCAAAAATACATAACCTATAAAAGCATATTAAAATTTAAAATTTCCGAAATCTTAATTTTCAATCCTCCTTCAAATCTTTACACTTAGATACTCGTTCGATTGCGATTGAAATTTTCGATTACAAACCCTACTGAACATAATATACCCTATAGCTACCAGTAACTGTCAAAATGCGGTCAAACGTTACAGGTTTTACATTGGTGAACTGTTTTACAAATAACTTTGGTTTTACCACATGTATTAACACCAAATTTTTACTAGTATTTCACTGTTAAATACTCGATATCCTGGTATAAAGAAATGTAGTCATGATACGTCCCTATAACAGAAAAAAAATTTGAAAAAAAAACTTTGACGGGATTGTTGACGTTTAGCGTTTGATGAAGACTTTAATTGTGATAGATGGCATTATTAATTAATTTCTGTAATTATTTTTTTTTATTAATAATTTTGGCTTGGATACAAGTCCTTTGAGCCATGTCTTCGTTTAATTATGTTTCTGTAAATATGGCCGCCACAAAGAGGATAGGCAATTTGAGGCGTCGTGTTTGGATTGACTCGGGATTCCTTACAACGGGGCGATACACCCGTTACAATTTTAGTTCGAAATTCGTATAATTTCGCGTTTTAATTTTCGATTAAGGCACAATAGCACTATCCTATTCCACTTTAAACTAGATTTCACAAAATAATTGGAAGTCAAAATAAAAACGACACTTTTCCCTCCAAAAGGCCCAGAGCGAATCTCTCTGTAATTATTACCTATCAAAATGATCGTTAGGATGTGCTTTTTCAGATGGTGTTAAAACTTTAACATTTGATATCTTATTGGAATCACAATCTTATTGGAAAAAAGGTCATCAAAGTGGAGGTCATCGCACCTTGTAATTGTTTTTTTGAAAAAAACTTATTCATTATTAAAATACTTTTAAGAGTAAAATATCACATAAACACATAACTTTATTCAATGGAGGTTGTATTAAAACCTTTTTTAGGTCGTTATATTGTGAGTTGTGATAGGATTCGTCAATTTTCTTCCTCGCAAGTTATAGTTTTTTTACGCCATTTTCGCAAATTTTCGCATTTTCGTCGCTACCCGGGACTATTATTAATTTATTTTAAAAATAGTTACACATTATATTCATGTGATTCTAGTGGTAATCGATGGGTATTTAAATGCTTGTCATCTTTATATATGTTTTGTTTCTTAATACAGTGAATATAAAAGGTAGTTAGAAGTTAAAGCGTAAAATACTATGAAAATTTCTCAGAAGTGTTCAGTGTACTCAGAAATCAACAAATAAAGTTGTCATATTACAATCATAACTGTATCTAAACAAAAGCTACTTAAGTGCTCTTGTCGCCTATGTTATTCTTTTTACGGTAGCTTAATAGGTTCTTGAGTTTCAAGTGTTTATATTATACGTGTCTTATCGCCGCCCGTAATGTAAACAATGAAAAAAGGTAGCAACTGATTAGAAAAGTGACAGGTATCAAATGTCACGCGCGCCGACGATCAAGTAGTGAATTTAATTAACGGAATGTTTTTTTTCGTACAGCACTTACTTCTATGACTTGTCTATGCAGCCATAGACAAGTCATAGAAGTATAGATGAAAAATAACCTCACTTTTGAACTACCATTTTTCAAATACGATTTTCCGCTGCTATTTAAATGAATATTGTTGGAAATAGTGATAGATATCAAATCGATAACTTCGAAATATACATGAATAAATAACTATTCGATGTGATTGTTTAGACATTTAACCAAACAAGTTTGTTTACATTTTGTTGAAAATGGATTGAAACAGACTACACAGATTGAATCAGGTCTACTCCCATTCTCCGTCCATCTGTCCGAAACAATTAGAGCATTTGCGTACTACGTCCGATTCATATCAGTTCCGAATCCGAGAAATAACGGTTCGGAATAGGACAGGGATCGTTTTATCAACAGAGCAAAGCTTTTTATTCACTTAAAGAATACTTTTTAGAAAATAGTGCTTAAAAACGAATTATTAAGTTTATATTTGGAAAGTATGTCAAATAGACAGACATAAGTGTATCAGGAATGAGACCTAAATGTAAAAGGAATTAATCATTGTTTCAAATCATCAATTAATTAATCATTGTTAATTTTATTTCAATAATGTAGAATTTTCTTATTGAATTGTTTTTAATTAAATTTTTTATTGAATTGATATTCAATTATTTTTTGTGAAATTACTCCACTAGTTTGTTATAATTATTAATACAAAGATCGAACACTCAGAAAAAACTCCTTCGGTCCGGTCGGATTCGAACCGATGTCTTCTTGCATACCGTTCCAGACGCTATACCTATTAATAATAATTAATAATTAATAATTATAACAAACTAGTGGAGTAATTTCACAAAAAATAATTGAATATCAATTCAATAAAAAATTTAATTAACACAGTGAATAGCGACATCTCTCGCCAGGACTGGTAGCTGTAAAGGTACTAACTGGGTGATAAAACTGTAATAGTTTTATCATAGATGGCGCTACGACTAAAAAGTCGTTGAAAGACCAAGTACAAAGACACGACGCAAGCACATAGAGAAATTCGTGAGGTCCGTTGGTTCGTTCCGTGGCTTAGTTGGTATAGCGTCTGGCACGGTATGCAAGAAGACGTCGATTCGAATCCGACCGGATCGAAGGAATTTTTTCTGAGTGTTCGATCTTTGTATTAATAATTATAACAGAATTGTTTTTAATTTTATTTTATTAATGTATGTGTTTTAGTAAAGTAAAGATATAGTGCCCTCAGAATGTTGCAGTGCCCCGACGGGCTGTTACATGTCAAGTACCATTAGCATAAGAACACCTGTTATATAACCATGTAACTTGCAAATATAGAATATGAATATGAATCTCTAGGTGAACAAGCGATATTTTCTCAAGTTCAAATCGATTTAGTGCACAAGCGACATCCGAAGTGGTTCCGAGTATTAACAGACTTCAAAACCTCCATCCTCCATCTGATTGAGATATGTTCGCCGAGGTCTACCTCTCCCCACGCTACTATAGCTACTATACTCAGGTAGCGTAGCGAGAGATACTTTTGAATATAAAACTGGGATTATCTTCATAAATAGATATTTATTACGTATTTTACATATTGACTCATGGAAGCTTCTTCTAGAACTCCCAAGACGTTCTTTTTTTTCTATCCTATTTTTTAAATACATTCCAAACACAAACCTATATTCATTCAGCCAGTATTTCTACTCATAGAGTAGAGCCTAGACTACACTACCATCCACATTCGCTCCATAAATTTGTGCCGTCAATCTACCAACATTCATTCTTTCTGCATGACCAAACCATCGAAACTCTCTCTATCCTTTTCACTACATCATCTTTCATATCACAACAGTAAACGTAGAACGTTCTCAATTCGACTGTATGTTTTTTTGTATGTATGTTATGTGATAACTCATCATGATAATTAGTGAAACGATTTTCATGATTCTTTTTTTGTTGGAACTAGGGTTCTTCCATAGTGGCCCCATTGAATTTTGAAGAAAGTCATGTGCCTAGGGTTGCTGTTCACGCATGAATATTCATTTTTACACATAGCGCCTAAATTTTACAGAAGCAATTATTTTAGGGGCAGTTTTGCTATTCTCCAATTCAAGGCGTTTTTCTCTCAATATACTTAGAGTAGTAAGAACCTATTTTTATTATCTCCTGTATCAAGTCCTGTATAAGGGCGAACTAGGGGATACTCCAATAAAACTTGGCAAATATACGTAAT